ATAGATCTAGAAGATATTAGGGAGTGAAGTACGTAGTGAAAAAAAAAATCCTTATGCTAAAAGGAGATAAATAACTAAAATTTAAAGGATACAAATAATAGTAATATCATTAGAGAACTTTGTATATCATGTGATACCACAAATATATGTTATTGAAATTTTGGTTACGTAGCTTAGACTTTGGATTGAGTTCTTGGTCTTAGTTTTATGTAAACTTATGGTAGGAAAGATAAATATGTAATTAGTAGAGAAAAGGGAGAAGGAATGAAGAGGGGGAGAATAGACCAATGGTGTTTAGGAAAAAGAGAGATGAATGAGATGGTATATGGAATTAGGGCTTAGATAATAGTTAAAGTGAAATATAGAATATGGGGATTTTTTTTAAGGGAAAAGGGGATTTAGGTTATTGTTTAGAGGGAAAAGGCAAAGAAAAAAAAAAGAGTGATGAGTTGTGAGGGGAAAATGGTTGAATTTCTCTGGTTGATTTGTGTCTAGACATCCCTTTGATGGTTGTCTAGGTAATATTGTATCATTTGAAGCTTCTATAAGAGCAGTTCTTTCTATGCATACAAAATTAGCTCTCTTTCTTTAATGTGTTAACTAGCATGAAGACATATTTTATAATAGAGCGAAGTTTTAGTGGCTACTCTAATATTTATCTCTCTGTGGATATTGTTGTTTTAAGTGTAAGATATTAATTTGACGCTAGTAATAAATTGAATAATTCATCAAAAAAAAAATTAATAAAATTAGATTTTTATCATGACATATCATTAAATTTTTATATTAGATTGATAATCACTATGTAAACGTACGTCACAATTGAAAACTCTCAAAACATGTCTACTAATTAACCTCTTCATTTTATTGTAAAAAATTCAAGTTTATTAGTCACATCGACAAGAATATATGGATTAGAGCAGTTAAATGAATATGGATCGAAATTGGTTCTTTAAAACGAATATGGATCGAAATTGGTTCTTTCTCTTGATAATTCCTTAATTGATCACTTCTGAATATATTCCGTTTACATCTTAAAGAGAATATATTGACCTGAGCACGCTACAGCTTTTTAGACTTTGACTGATTGTCTGCTTTGACAACTTTTAACCTCCATTGGGCTACGTTTGTTATACGGGATTAAATAAAAGGAAAATAGTAGAAAATAGGTTAATATAAAAAGTTTAAGAAAATATATAGATCAATTTTTAGTTATAGAAATTAATAGGTCATAACTTGTCAAGTTATGGTTCATAATTAGATAAATTAAGGATAAATTTATCAAGTTATGGTTTATAGCCAGACAAGTTATGGATAATTATGGACAATAACTTGTCAAGTTATGGTTCATAACCAGACAAGTTATTGACGAAAACAGTAATTTGGCCTGTTTTTTAACTTATGTAAACTATTGGCCTATTAATTTTAATTCATCTAAAGTCTTGGCTTATTTTCCTCTTTCTCCCTAAATAAAATCATTTGTCTTGAATTGAATTAGATTATTCTTAAATAAAATCATTTGTCTTGAATTGATTGGAGTGTATTACTTCAAATATGAGATTATTTATTTCAATAGATAATTTTCACAAAAACTTCAATTATTTTGGACATAATAAATTACCAAAAATATAAGGATTTAAAATTGAATTACATATATATATACACACACACACACACACACACAATCATAGTGAGGTTTGTTTTAGTGGGGGCACGTGTCATGGTAAAATTATAATTTTTTAGGGAAATTATCATTTTGATATCCTATAATTTGGCATTTTATCAAGTTATCTTTGTGTTTGTAAGATTTCATGGAAGTAATTATTTTGCGGAATATCATGCGAATACCTCAAGCCTATGTTTGTAGGACATAAAATGACGGTTTCCCCTTTTAGTCCAAAAACTTCAATTATTTTGGACATAATAAATTACCAAAAATATAAGGATTTAAAATTGAATTACATATATATATATATATATATATATACACACACACACAATCATAGTGAGGTTTGTTTTAGTGGGGGCACGTGTCATGGTAAAATTATAATTTTTTAGGGAAATTATCATTTTGATATCCTATAATTTGGCATTTTATCAAGTTATCTTTGCGTTTGTAAGATTTCATGGAAGTAATTATTTTGCGGAATATCATGCGAATACCTCAAGCCTATGTTTTTAGGACATAAAATGACGGTTTCCCCTTTTAGTCCAAAAATTTTCCCCAAATTTACTTAAAATAAAAATATAAGATCTAAACATAAAAATAAAATATGTTATTTAACAAATTTTTTAGAATTTTTTTTTTTAATTTTCTGAAGTGATCAAAGGGAAGAACCATCGATTTATATCCCAAAAAATGAGGTCAAGGTACCCAAATGAGATTTGTTTAAATAACAGGTGCGCCAATGGATTTTTTTCCGAATATGAAATACCAAATTAAAAAAGTGTTGAACTACAAGATACTATAATTATATTTTCCCTGTTTTAAACAAAAGATTACAATTCTACGCACTCTTATAAGAAAATATGGCGCTACTTAGTATCTATAAGGAAGAGTTCTAATTATTAGGCCTCTTACTTATATCTTTTGTTTTTTTTTGTTTTTGTTTTGTTTTTGTTTTTTTTTTTTGTTTTTTTTGTTTTTTACGGACAAATGAGTTTTATTCATCAATACGAAGATCAAACCTTACCGAAGAACTCAAACAACTTGGAATATGTTAGGGATAAAATCAGCACTAAGATTATATATAGCCTTACACGTGGACAAAATTTGGAGAAGCAGGTTGATTGAAATGACTAGTTGAAGGATCAACTCAAGAGACAATATCAACTAGAGAAGTACGACAACAAGAGACCCATGAATACTACCATGAATAAATCAAGAAAGAAAGTTTCTTGGAGGCCATGAAGTCCAATACAACCAAATCTGATATAAAAGGCGTGAATTAGACCAATTTTGAAAAGGATAGATATCAAGAAGCAAATAAAGAAATAAGAAATGGGAAAGCAAACTGAATAAAGAGAAAACTATCCATTCTCCAATCGACTACCCATCAGCTTAAGGAAAAAAGAAACTTAAAATCATCACCTATAAACAAGGGTTATAATCACGAATTGGGCATCTAAATATCAAATACATCACATATAGATCTCATATCTCGAATTTACTTCCTCTCTCTCTCTCTCTCCAGAATTTTTACATTCCATCGACTTAAATTGACTTCAATCAACTCACCAACGCAATTGACGTCCGGGAGAGTTCTTGGCCCTCTAAACAAATTTAATTGTAGAATCCAATCTCTATAGATTAAAATGAAATATGGCATCTTACTTATCTCTTTTGTATTCATATTATATGTCTCCATTGAAAAACTTTTCTTAGCTGAGCCCTTTATTATAGAGAACATTGGGATAAAACTTTGGATAAATGAAATAACTTTTTCTCTTATTCTCTACCAAATAACAACTATCTACTTTTAAATATTTTCCTCGTATGAATTTTTACGTTCTTCCTTTTTATTTTTCATCCTTCTTACCACACATGTATTAATTAAGAAAAAATCTCCTTAAAAAAAAATAACAAAGAAAAGAAAGGAGAAAACCAATTATATGCATATATACATACAAAAACGAAATATTGTAGATAACAGACGTAAACAATATTCTCTAGAAAGTTGTAAACCATAATATCACGTATATATATATATATGCTCTGTCTTTCTGTGTAATTCTTTTGTACTAACTTGTGTACATTTTTTTTTTTTTTTTTTTTTTTTTTTTTTTTTCATATTGAAAAGTGGTCTATATATATGGCGGTTGTCTGAGTGCAGTGATCATGAGTACGAATCAAATTTGATACTTTACATATTCGATTTTCACATTTCATAACCTTATTAATTATATATACACGGTCCTTATCTAAAAAAGTAATTTATCTTTCACAGATTAGTCCCCACTCTAACTACATTTTTGCTTCAATATCACGAAACTACGTACCAATTTCATCTTTTCTTTCTTTTTGGCTGCAAAAATCTGAAAAACTTTGATCACATTGGTCCCCCATATAGACATATATATATATATATATTTTATATTAATATTTGTACCTACGTGTAAATTTGACCAACCAAAATAAATTTGAATTCCATTGATTATTGCCAGATTTTATACTATTCCGTGTGATTTTAATTATCTCAATATAAAGCAATGCATAACCGTGTTCTTCTGATGCTGGGCATAGTAGGGCCAATATATGACTTTCCTCTTTTTTGACCAATATCCGACTGACTTTGTCTTTGGAATGGATTTTACCAGTAAAATTGTCCATCAACAGACTCACAGATGACCACCAAAGAAAATATAGACCAAAATAAATAAATAATTCCATGGCAAGCAGTACATGCATCTGTACTACATGATGTTTTCTGACGGATTTAGTATGCATTTTTAACCGTTAGATTAAATTTGATTGTTATTTTTTATCATGTCGAATAAAAACTAATTTAACAAGATTTTATAAATATCTATTAATCAAACACCTTATTCTACCAAATTTGATAAATTTAACAATACTTGATAAATATATATTTATATGATATGATTTGATAGATATATGATATAATTTGATAAATATCTATCAAATCATATCATAATAAATAAAGTATGACGATTTAATAGAATTTCACAAAAATCTATCAATTAAACATCATATTGTGATGTTAGGGCATTTTTTTTATACCCTATTAAAGAATTCTTTGCTATACATATTGGTGCAGCCACAATAAGTTATATATATATATATATATTCATATATTATTAAAAATATTTGATGAAGATGCGTAATTAATGCTGACTAGTATATAAACATAATAATAGCCAATGTATTTTTCTACCAAACAAATTAAGTCTCACAACTTCTTCTTCAGTCGACTTTCTCTATCTTCCCTTTTAAGTGTTGGTCAAATGTATTTGCACCATTGGTTAGCCGAAATCTCTTACCACTACATAAAACCAACAAATTAGTCTTCTTCTTCTATTTCCATATCCCTTGGTTTCATCAATAATTAATTCCCACCACCATTTCCACTCCAAATAAGCTCTGAAAGCTTAAGCTAGTACTACAATTCAAAAACCTTCTTTTATTCTTAATTAATGGAAGATATTGAAATTCCTCATTATTTTATCTGCCCAATTTCACTCCAAATCATGAAAGACCCCGTAACCGCCATAACCGGAATAACCTACGACCGAGAGAGCATTGAGCACTGGCTATTAACCTCCAAGAACACCACTTGCCCCGTCACCAAACAGCCCTTGCCGCTGTCCGACGCCGACTTGACCCCGAACCACACTCTCCGCCGTCTGATCCAGGCCTGGTGCTCGGAGAATTCGTCGAAGGGCGTCGAGCGGATCCCGACTCCGAAGCCCCCTTTGGAAAAGGCTCAAATCCTCAAACTTCTCAAGGACTTAGACGGTGATCATCATCATCAGCTGAAAGCCATCAAACGATTGGAAACTCTCGCGGCGGAAAATGAAAGGAACAGGAAATTTATGGTCGAAACCAGCGTTGCAAAAGCCGTTTTCTCGTACATTGCGAAATATTGTTTTCTGAGGAACCAAACGGAAGGGCTTGAACAAGCTATGAGCATTCTTCACTACATAGTCCGGATCAAAAATAGTACTAACAATATGAATTCTTCCTCGGGATTAACAGATCAGAATCTGTTCGAGAACGAACACGTCATGGATTCTCTCACCTGGGTTTTGAGTTGCACCTTCGAGAATAACAAGAATCACATCAAAGCCCACACAGTTTTCGTCCTGAAATCGATCGTCGAGAAAGGTAACCCTAACGATCTTTCGCGACTAAAACCCGAATTCTTCAGAAACATTTTGGAAGTCGTAAAGAACAGAGACAAGAACATCACACACCAAGGACTAAACGCGGCGTTGCAGATACTGCTCCAGGCGGGTCCCTACGGTCGGAACCGGACGGTGATGGTCCAATACGGCGCCGTTTTCGAGCTCGTGGAGCTGGAGATAAACTCCACGGAGAGGAAAACGACGGAGCTGGTATTCGGTATTTTGTTCCACTTGTGTTCATGTGCCGATGGGAGGGCTCAGTTTCTGAGCCACAAAGCGAGCATCTTCGTCGTTTCGAGGAGGATATTGCGGGTTTCGCAGGCGGTGGACGACAGAGCCGTGATGATATTTTCTTTGATTTGCAGATTCTCGGGAACCAAACAGGTTCTGAGGGAAATGCTGGAGTGTGGAGCGGTTTCTAGGCTGTGTGTTTTGCTTCAAGTGGAGTGTGCTGGATATTTGAAGGAGAGAGCAAGAGAGATGCTAAAGACACATTCTGGGGAGTGGAAAGACTCCCCTTGTATAGATGAGTCCCATTACCCCAGGTAATAAATCATGATGATCATGATCAAATCAATAAGTTTAATGGGATATTCCAAATATTTATTTATTTTTTAGATTTTTGTTTAGTTGTTGATTAAGAGAGAGAAAATTCTGTGACTCCCTAAGGGATCACTAGAAAGAGGTTAAAATATTAAGTTAACTTATCTACTTACCATGCATAAGTATTCGAGTATTATATATGCTCTGTGTGATACCCGACAGAAAATATAAATAAAAAATAATTAAGACTAATGTCGTAAATAAGTTGTGATTTATTATTGAACATGTTGTTAGAAAATTATACTTCTATTGATTGGAAAATAAAAACTCATTATTTACGGAATCACTGCTTTTAAAAATTTAATGGGATGTTTGGTTTATAGATTTAGAACCATGATTCATGATTCTGATTTTTGAAATTCAAATTTTTTGTGAGAGAAAAATACTGTAGAGAATCAAGAACCATAATTCAGAACCAGGAACGAACTCTTAAAACAAACATCCCATAAGAGATTACTTCATTTACATACATAAATAATTATACTTTTATCCTATGAGCATCCGTCATGCAAACAATAAATAAGTCAAATGACATGAGGTAGGTTGTTGAGGCTTGGTTTAAGAGATAGCAAATTTGATCATGTACTTGTTTTTGAATATTGAAAATTTATTAAAGGAAAATTTGATCCCGTATTGTTTAGACGGGAAGCTCTTTAAAAGCATCAAAGCTCTTCTTTTTAACTAATGACTCTTGAGTCTATTTTTGAATATTGATTAAGGGGTCTCCAAACTTTGTATATTCTCAACAGCCAATTTGGTCGTTAACTCTCACCGGGTGCAAAAGTTTAGGGACTAATGACGTAGATTTACTTAATTTGAAATTTAAGGATATACATTATGTGGTTGTTGACATGCTCTTTGGTGCAAAGCTTTTTCTAATATTCATAGCACCAATGTTGCTTGAATTAAGACCTAAATGTTAATGCCAATTATATATTTGACACCAAAAAATATGATAGCACGTGTTATTTTCACTTATACTCCAATACATAATGCTATTTAAAATGTTAAATCTACTTTTTCTATAATCATTGAGCTAAGTTATAAAAGTGAACTTTTAATTTTAAAATAATTTAAAACAGCAAAAGTTGTAATGATTAAATGAAAGAGCAACCATATCAACCAATAAGAAGCAAGTATCAAATTTGTCATATGCTATACTTGGTAGGAAATTTTTCACAAAGTATAACAAATGGCAAATTTACTACAACAAATAACATTATATTAAAGAGTGTGTTTTTACACTCAAATACTAGATTTATAATTAGTACATGAATTATGGGAGATGCTCTAAGAGAAAATCCTAATCACGTTTGAGACTAATAGGATTTACTTTGAGGATTGTGATTTCTGTATAATATGCCTAACATGTAAAACTTGATTATGTATATTATTTTTTCTCTAGTCATATCCTAAATATGGCAAAGAATGACTATATTTTAAAGTGAATATTCATATATAGTTTTCATCTATTAAAAAAAATCATTGTTTTCGTAAATTCTCTAGCATATTTCTACCAATTTTAATATTTTTATTGATATTCTCTTATGTTTACCAAAATTTTCATCGAAATTTTTTCCAACAATGTTTTACATCCAAAAGGCATTTATTTATTTATTTTCATTTTCTACACGATGCAATGTTACCTTATATTATTTCCTTTATTTAAAAACGGTACAATAACCTTCTGAATTTGCATCTAGATATTTCCATTTACTTCAAAGAAAAAAATACAACGAACTCTTCAAAATAAAGAAAAAAAAAATAAAACCAACACCAAATGTCCTTTATTGTCAAAGTAAATATGCATTGTAAGTCTCCAAACTCATGTATATGTTTGGAGCGGGGGTTAGGGTTAATGGCTAACTTGACGGAAGGACTTATGCTAGTCAAGAAGATATAACTCTTGGGACCCAAAATGAAGATTTCAAAAATAGTGATCCCACATGTAATGAATTTAAAAGTTTGGGAACCTATGACACAAATTTCATTTGATCAAGACACTAGTTAATAGTGTAAGTAGTTTTGGCTTGAATAACCTTTGATCAAAATATTTTTGTCTCCTACGTACTGAGAAAAGTTTGAGCTTTCTCCACACTTTTTCTTCGATCACAACAAAGGTGGTATTTGGTACATCAATGAAAGACAGAAAGTTGGAGATAAGATGATAATATATATATCTCCTTCAAATAAGGAGAGAAGACAAATATACATTTCCTTTTTGTTTTTTTTTGTTTTGTTTTTAGAATAGAAACAGTTGAAAATGGATAGAACTTCATTGGAGGGTTACTATATGTATTGCTCATATTGATTATTAATTTATTAATTTTATAGATTGAAAAATAACCCCCGTTTTATCAAAAAAGTTCCCTCAATTCTCTCTCTCTCTCTCTCTCTCTCTCTCTCTCTCTGCCAGTCTCTCCCTCTCTCTCTCTCTCTCTCTCTCTCTCTCTCTCTCTCTCTCTCTCTCTCTCTCTCTCTCTCATCTCCTAATTCCCCTCGTCCAACTTCCATCTGTCCAACCAAACAAAGTGTTAAATTAGTTGGTAAATCTAAACAGATGTCACGTGCTTGGCCAGCCTGTGGTGTGTGGTCCCACTAAAGCTGCCTGAATCTCTTTAATTGATTAAGCTCATTTTTCACATTTGGACAGTACGAAAGTATCAATTCTGTTTCAAATTTATATTTTGACAATACCTGCTCGAGGTGTCAAATGGGCCGGGCCGTCCATGGACGGCCCAGCCCAGTCCGTAATAGTGTCTGATTCCCGCCCATGGCCGGCCCAGCCCAGTCCGTAATAGTGTCTGATTCGGCAGGCCCGGTTCGCTACTGTTTCGGGCCGTGCCGGCACAGCACGTGTCAGCTAGGGCTGGGCCTCAGCTTCTCAGCCCACGGCCCAAGCACATGGAGGCCCACGGCACGACCCTTATTCGGCCCGGCCCAAGCCCAAATTCGGCCCGGCCCAAGCCCGCAAAACGGCCCATGAAACAGCCCATTTCATTTGGTCCAGGGGATCCTTCGCGTTTGGCACGTGACGGGCCAAACGGGAGGCCTGTCACGTGCCGGACGTTGGGCCCGCGAAGGGCCCAACGGCTAAAATGCTCAAAATTCAGAAATTCACCCCCAAAATCCCCTATAAATACTCCTTAATTCTACCATAAATCTCACACAATAATTCACTCTCAACTTCTCATCTCACTCTCATTCTATCTCTCAACTTGTCTCTTTGATTTTGATTCTAAGCTTTTTTCTCGCGTTCATTCCTTTTCTAGCTCTTTCATTTACAAAGTTCAATCAAGTTCTATCAATTTCCAGAAAATGGCCGCACCAAACTTCCCTAATTTCACTGCTTTTCCTGAGCTTGGTGATGAGGCATTTTTTGAGGATGAAATGATTGTTGGTTTCCGAATCGAATTCGGATGCGGAAGCGTGGTGCGGGGAGGGAGGCAAATCATGTATAACAAAAATTTTCATAAAACTTTTGAGATACTCTATAGATTATATTAATTTATGCACGAATAAATTAATCTCATTAATTCATTTATTAAGAACTCAATTAGAAAAAATACCTGGAAGCCGACTCGGATGATAACTTGAGTTCTTTGACCTCGAATCCACGAAGACGTGTGTGTGGGCACACATGAGACAAAACGGGTTACAATAAACACTCGAATTTCCACAAACACCATCACATGCACGATGTGGAATTTTTGGAGAAAAATTTTTCCTTCCTTTCTCTCTTGAGAATTTCGGCCAGCCTTAACTCTTAGGGCTGAAAAATTGTTTCCAAAATTTCTATAGAGAAATTTCGGCTACCTCTAAAATTAGGGTAAAAAACCATTCCGAAAATTGTCTCAAAAATAGTATTTATAGAGTAGAAGTCAAACTTCTAGAAGGAATCCAATCTCTACCTCTAAGATAAAGCTTGTTAATTATCTCCTATTTGAATTTTAAACAGAAGCTCCTATTCCCTTATCCCTTAGTGTGGCCGGCCAAGATGGGGATTCTCATCCCTGTGTAGCGCCAATATCAAATAGGGAAGGAAGAGAAAATTATCCTTTATCCTGTAGTCCAATTTTGACTCAAATTCAAATTCCAATTTAAGTCAAACTTAAATTAATTTGAATTCTAAATTGAACAACTTATCAAATAAGTTTAAATGGATAAATCTAGATGTGTTCAAATTCAAATTTAAATAATCA